CACTTTAGTTCTATCATGAATTTATTTCCTAAACTTGGTATGTTAATATTATGATAATGACCTTGACAGTGTCTGTGGACCTTACCTTTTCAGTGTTGGAAACACAAAGATTGCACATGATTAGATACGTATCATTAGCCTATTACCCTTCTGAATTAGTGGTTCCATCTCAAATGAGGCAATAATTTTTCCCATCTTACATAGTTTTTAAAAATGGTATATGTACAAATACATACTGTAGACTGTAATGCACCATGGGGCCCTGTCTAGGAATGCACTGGATGTTCAGGCTACTCTAAGCATGGGCCTAATCGAGGTGCTCAAGGCCAACATACTTTTCAGCAGGTGCAAGACCACAGCGCTCTCATGGTACACTGTGCCTGTGCCCTTCTGTAGCCAAAATGATCCATGCAACTAATGGCACGAAGCCTTTGTCTCTGGGGTAATATACAGGTTACTGCCCAGCTAGTCTGGAGCGTGAAGAAGATGAAGCTGGAGACCTGAGAGCTGGTACTGCTACGATGTAAGGCTAAGAGCTCACAGAGAGCTCGGCTATAGCTGCCATGTTACCCAACCAGTGTGCTGGGCAGGGTGGAGACAGGAGAAGCTGCTGAGCCAGCGAGGCTACTGAGGCTGTAGCCCTAAGGGAGAGCTCAGGCACTATTGCTCTGTAAAGCTTTAGGTTTAGAGGCAGCATGTGGCTGCTCAGATAATAGCTGTGGGTACAGAGATTAATGCTGCTTTGCAGGAAAGACATTTACCAGCTGGTGTACAGCTGCCTGCCTGCTGGGGACACTGTTAATGAAAGACCATGTTGTCTGATGACTATATGGCCACTGGCTTCTGCAATACAGACTCTTTCTTATACACCCACGACCTCTCACGGCTTCTCCCTCTAAGACCCGGCGTCCAAGGAGGTCCAGCCCCAGGCAGAGAGGCTCAGACCCAACAGCTGTAACTAGTGAGCAGAAGATAAAGAAGAGCTTGAACTAACTTCCCAACAGTTAGTACAGTGGGCAGGGTTTGAGAAGGGACCTGCCCAGGCGTAATCAGGAAGAATTCTGGAGAATATACGGACTCAGAGCAACTCAGGGTAGCAGTGCCCGTGCAGAGCTCAGGTTGTGCCCTGACATGCACTGTATAGATATAAGCTATAAATATTTCAGTAAAAGTGAACACAATACTCTTCCTTAGTTGTATGTAAATTCAAGTCACATATGTGGATCCATAAATAGATGCCTGGATCACTAATATCCAAACATTAGTGTGAGAATATGATTCCTGGTTGGGATTTGATCATAGCATTTTGGTAGTTGTGTGGTTTTTCCAGTTACCTATTGTGTCGGGCCAGCACAGCTAAGGGTTCAGTGAGCCTGGGCGAGGGGGGCGGC